TGTGGTTAAAAAGAAGAACGGCAAGTGGAGAGTCTGCGTTGATTTCACCGATCTGAACAAAGCTTGCCCTAAAGACAGTTTTCCGCTCCCACATATCGATCGTCTAGTGGAAGCAACCGCGGGAAATAAGTTGCTATCATTCATGGATGCTTTCGCAGGATACAATCAGATTCTCATGCACCCCGACGATCGCGAGAAGACAGCATTCATCACAGACCGAGGTATCTACTGTTACAAAGTCATGCCTTTCGGACTCAAGAACGCCGGCGCGACGTATCAGCGACTCGTCAACAGGATGTTCTCCGAACAGCTCGGGAAGACGATGGAAGTTTATATCGACGACATGCTAGTCAAATCCCTTGAAGAAAGCGATCACATAGCCCATCTACGCGACTGTTTCCGTCAGCTCAACAAGCACAACATGAAGCTTAACCCGGCAAAATGTCGTTTCGCGGTAAAGTCTGGAGAATTTTTGGGATATCTCGTAACTCACCGAGGCATCGAGGCAAACCCGAAGCAGATCGATGCTCTACTGAACATGCCCTCACCGCAGAACAAGCGCGAAGTCCAACGTCTCACCGGGAGAGTCGCAGCCTTGAACCGATTCATCTCGCGATCCACTGACAAATGCCTAGCTTTCTACGATACTCTGCGCGGGAACAAGAAATTCGAATGGACCGATCGCTGCGAAGAAGCTTTCCAGGAACTGAAGAAGTATTTAGCTAATCCACCGGTGTTAGCGAAACCAGTCCCGGGCGAGCCGCTATTCCTGTACATCGCAGTCTCTGATACGGCTATAAGCGGAGTCATAGTCAGGGAAGACAGAGGAGAGCAGAAGCCGATATTTTATGTCTCACAAACTTTCACTGACGCGGAAACACGTTACCCGCATACTGAAAAGCTCGCCCTCGCCGTAGTAATGTCAGCTCGGAAGCTAAGGCCATACTTCCAGTCTCACTCGATTGTCGTCATGGCACCCGTATCACTCCGAACCATCCTACACAGTCCGAGCCAATCGGGACGCCTGGCCAAGTGGGCGGTAGAACTCAGCGAGTATGACATCGAATACAGGAACAAAACATGCGCGAAATCTCAAGTCCTGGCCGATTTTATCATCGAGCTGCCAACAGAGAACGCCCGAGAAGAGTCACCCAACGCTGTTTGGATCCTCCACGTTGACGGCTCATCTTCAAAACAAGGTTCTGGCGTCGGAATCCGCCTAGCATCGCCAGAGGGTGAAATCCTTGAACAATCCTTTCGGCTGAATTTCGACGCGACTAACAACGTGGCCGAATACGAAGCATTGATAGCAGGACTTAAGCTGGCTCGGGGACTTAAGATCAACAAGCTGCGAGCCTTTTGCGACTCCCAGCTCGTGGCTAATCAATTCAATGGAGAATACGCGGCTCGCGACGAACGAATGGAAGCATATCTCGCTCTCACACAAGACTTAGCAAAACAGTTCGGAGAGTTTGAGTTGACCAGAATCCCACGAGGTGAGAACACATCGGCCGATGCCTTAGCGGCTCTAGCTTCAACCTCCGACCCAAATCTGAAGAGGATCATACCGGTTGAGTTCATCGAAAAGCCGAGCATTGAAGATAATAGCAAGGACCAAGTTCTAACAGCTCGGGAGACAGAAGAACCGGAAGAAATGGACATCGAACAACTAGACCAGCAAACTACGGACGCAACCGAGCCCGAATACGGAAGCGACGCCAAATGGATCGGAGCCATCCGAAGCTACATTGCCGATGGAGAAGTTCCTACTGAAAAGTGGGCAGCTCGGAAACTTAAGGCCAAAGCGGCTCGGTATACTCTGGTCGACGGAGAGCTCTTTAAATGGCGATTTTCTGGCCCCCTCCTTATCTGTGTCGAAGGAAACGAAGCTCGGAGAGTCATGGAAGAAGTTCACGGCGGATCTTGTGGAAACCATTCTGGCGGGAGAGCTCTGGCTATAAAGATCAAGCGCCACGGATATTTTTGGCCGACGATGGTCAAAGACTGCGAGAAATTTTCTCAACGATGTGATAAATGCCAGAGGCACGCACCAACCATTCATCAACCCGCCGAGCTCCTCTCTTCTATAACTTCGCCTTACCCATTCATGCGATGGTCCATGGACATCATCGGACCTCTACACAACTCCAAGCAGAAGAAACTCGTCCTCGTACTGACAGACTATTTCTCCAAATGGATCGAGGCGGACTCTTACGCCAGCATCAAAGATGCGCAGGTCGAGAACTTTGTCTGGAAGAACATCATATGCCGCCATGGGATACCTTACGAGATCGTTACAGACAACGGATCGCAGTTTATCTCGGCTCGCTTCGAAGGATTCTGCGAGAAATGGAAAATTCGCCTCAGCAAATCTACGCCTCGGTATCCTCAGGGGAACGGACAAGCCGAAGCGGCGAACAAGACGATTCTCGACGGAATAAAAAAGCGCCTCGACGCAAAGAAAGGCCGCTGGGCCGACGAATTAGAAGGAGTACTCTGGTCACACAGAACCACGCCACGGAGAGCCACGGGAGAAACACCTTTCGCCCTTGTCTATGGCACGGAGTGTGTGATTCCCACCGAAGCCGAGATCCCGGGACTGAGAAGACGTTTTCTCCCCGAGCAGGAAAATTCCAACACTCAGATGATGCTGGACGAGCTGGACTTAGTTGACGAAAGAAGAGATTCGGCCTTGGTTCGAATGCAGAACTATCAGAATGCAACGGCTCGGTACTACAACTCTCACGTAAAACATCGCCGTTTCCACGAAGGAGATCTTGTACTGCGCAAAGTTTTCCAGAATACCGCCGAGCAGAACGCAGGCAAACTCGGCGCGAATTGGGAGGGACCTTACACGATCGCAAAGGTAATCCGTCCCGGCGTCTACGAACTCATCAACATCAACGGAAAAGCGGTACCTAGATCCTGGAACGCAATGCATCTAAGGAGATATTACCGCTAAAAACATAAGGTACGCATGTACTTGAACTACGGGGTGGCTTGATCCCTGAAAAGGGTACGTAGGCATCTCGTCCTCGGACGAGTTCAGCTACCCCCCCTAATTAAAAAAGGGGGGAGTGGGTCCGTATACTTATATACTCCCACTAAATTTTTCAAATTCACTAAGTTTTTACCCTTCGGGTTATCAATCTTATCCACCTCGGAGATTTTAACGGTCATCTTATCGATCTATAAAGCTAAAAGTTCGTTCGGACGATGGCCACGTCCTCGGACAGAAAAAGCTCTTTTCACCGCCTCGGTTACAGCGCGCTATATAAACAGTCAAGATGGTTCGGTCGGAGATATCCTGCCATAGAGAAATCGTCTTCAGAAAACCCAGTTGACCTCTACACTGGTGCCCCAGTTCGCTTCTAAGCACTGGCATCGACTATATCAGCTCGGATCGCAACCGACAAAGATTAGTCCTACTTACCAAAACCCAGTTTACTTAACACTGGTACACGATTTGCCTGGTTCGAAAAGTGGTTCGGAAAGTTACTCTGAGACAAGAAAATTATCGAGAACAAAATATATTCATTATCAATAGTGGATAAAGCCGTCCAGGCATCAAGTCTTACAAAAATCCAGAATTAAAAGAAGGAATACGCCACGGATCTACTCATCCCGCCCCTCCGGAACATGTGCGACTTCGGAACTCAGATTCGTGCCGGCCTGGTCCGTAATACCAATTCCCGCGGCAACCCCCTCGATTGACCTGTTTCCGAAATTATCTTCAACAGAATCCGGAGAAGCCGGAGGAAGCCTCAGGTCCTCTCGCAGCTCGGTTCCGATCCGCACAAACTCCTCCTCAGCATCTCCATACTCAGCTTTCCACTGGAGAACTTCCTCCTTTTCATCCTCGACATTTTTGCCGCCTTCAAGGTCGGCGATCAATTCAGCGTTAGCTCTGGCCTGGACGAGAACATGTAGCGCTCGGACGCCTTCCCATACAGGTCCGTCTTCGCTTCTATCGCCTCGACCTTCTTGGCGAACTCCTTCTTAGCCGCTTTCCTCTCCCGACGTACCTCCTTCTCCCGAAGCGATTCTCCCTCGGTGAATAGTCGTTTCACGCGTTCGATTTCGGCTTCCATCTTCCGACGGAGACGAAGACCGTCCTCAGCCACCTTTAATCGTTCGACTTTCTCTGCCTTAGCCAACGCTTCGGCTTCCCGCCTGGCTTCATCCGCCTCGGCAACCTTAGTCGCCGCCTCGGCAATCTTGGCCTCTGCCTCGACCATCTTGGCATCGGCCCCAGCAATTCTTACCTCCGCCTCGGCTCGGGAAGTCTCGTATCTACGGTTCGAGGAGTCGTAGGCTCGAACCATGCGGTTCATCGAATGGAAAGCCTGGAACGCAAAAAATAAAGTTAGTACTAAGAATGTTAAAAGGTTTAGGATGCTTCGGAGATAAACCATTACCTTCAGAAATCCCGCAGCAGTCTCGCGGTAATTTTCAGCCTCCAGCAAAGCTTCGGGCGCAGCTAGGGTCGGACCCGAGCAAGAAGCGATAAGATTAGCAGATGCCATCTTATCCTTGTAGATGGGAGCCTCGTTGCGACTCCTCTTCTCTTTCCTACGACTTCCCGAGCTATCACCTCGGGGCCTCTTAACCTTCGCCTTAGTTTTCACCTCGGCACCCAGAGCGACAATAGCCGAGGTCCCGGCCACCTCGGGGATACCGGTCGGAGGAGAGACTCGCCCAGCCGCCTCGGGCATGATCGAAACCATATCCCGAGCTTCATTGGTCGCCTCGACGCCGACGACTTCAAGACCGGCCTCGGGAGGAGTAGGAGGTCTGAAATTTGCCTCCAAAACGGCTTTTTCCTTAGCCGCCTTCTTTTCAGCAGCCTTCCTGGCTCTCAGAGATTGCGCAGCTCCTTGCATTTCGATGAGGTGATCTAGACGGTGGTCAGATGATTCTGAAGAAGATTGGCAGGGAGCTCCGTGCAACAAACGCAAGGCTCTCTCAATCCTTTCCTGGGAAAAGTGCTTCGTCCAGTCGCACTTCCGAGCTATTAGTTCGTCGTGGAGGTCTAGAAAGCCTTCGGGAATGTCTTCGAGAAACGACGGGTTCCGATCTGCATGAACAAGAAAAAAGATCAGTTAAAAGTTTAAAGCAAAACAAGACAGCAAATACGGCTTCGGGCGTAGTACCGATTTGTCTCCATTTTCCAACAATTTTCCCTAAGTAATCCTCATGGACACTATACTCATTTAAGGCTACGAAGAAGAAGTGGTCGGTGTATTTCTCATCCTTGCTCGGGAAACCACCGATAACCCTCCTGTTTGGCCTCGGAGATATGTAAAATCTCTCAACAGGGCCCGGTATGCGCCGGATCTCTAGGAGATTCCTTAGGTGGCTTAAGTCGACGAGATTGACCGTCTCAATACTTCGGACTAAAATCCCCACTAGGTGCCGCAAGCCTCGGGTCGTTATCTGGGATAAAGCAATCTTGTACGACCACAGAAACGCCAAAATCGGCCTCGGGATTGGAAGCCAAAGGTAGCAATGATAGAAGAACCCCTCGTAAAGGGTAAAAAACCCCTCGGGTGGATCATCGGCTCGCTCGTTTGGAGTTGGAAGTCTTAGTTCAACCCCTTCGCTAAAACCAAAACGAGCCTTGAGATCCCGAAGGGAATCCTCCGTGCATAAGGTAGAACCCGGGGGATCAGGTTTCCTAGCTTTCTTGGCTCGTTTTCTCTTCTGTTGACCCTTGGCTGCTTGGACTTTAGCTCGGAGCAACCTAGCTGCCTCGTCAGAATCGTAATGAACCTCCTCGGCCTTAATAGGAAGAAGAGGCGCCTCGGGGGCATTTCGCCAGCACGATGCTCCAGCTTCATCAGCTGCCGGTGGATGGGCCCTCCTTCTACTCAAAATCGCCTCGGGATCATCAGGCAAATCCTGATCCCGAGCCACATTCGCAACCGCGTCTTCCCGAACAATGAAACGGCTCGGGTTTTCTTCCCGTGAAGCCGACTCTGCATCACACCCACGGTACAACACGATCTGATGGTCCGCCTCGGGGTCGCTCGAGGAACTCCAGACCATCTTTCTCTTGTAGACGGGGAGATGAGTGTCGCCTCGGGGCGAATCGCTGGAATCAGATAGAGACATTTTCTGGCTCGGGAGATTGAAGAAGTCGATCGGAGATAACAAAGTTCGACAGATCGGAGAAATCAATCTAGACCTAATGACGGCGGCACTACGACGGAAGTATAACGGAAAAAGAAGAGAAATGCAAGAACTCAAGATCAGAGAAAGAAGAGAACGAACCTTGAAAATTTTCCTTTGCAGTTGCGAAATGAGAGAACGAGTCGGAGACTTAGTATTTATAGGGATTTAAGGCGCGTCGGGTACGAACGAACCAAATAAAAACATCGCGTCCGCGTCTAAAGGCGCGTCGGGCACACACAAATCAAATAAGATACTTCGCATCCGCACGAGTCTCGGGAATCAGCGAAAGGACCTTTCCACTTCTCAAGAAGGAATCCCAACCGTCACACGCCAAGAGAAGATGAAACGACAAAGGAATTCAAATCGCCACAAACTGTTCAAGGTAAACGGCTCGGCCTAATTGTCATAAAGCTCGTCACGCTTGGTTCCTCAACCTAACGAGCTGGGGGGCTAACTGTTGGGGTCGGATTCCATCTTTTAGCGCCGAGCCAGATTTAGAATAGTTCGGGAGTCTCAGTGATCACCTCGGGCATCGCATCATTCATCTCGGGATATCAATCTAATCGATTTAGTAAACCCGAGCCCATCGCCTCGGGCATACCTTTAGCCCATCGCCTCGGGCATGCCCTTCGCCTCGGGGCTATTTGAACAATACATCTAAAGCACCCGAGCCCAATTACCTCGGGGGTACCCGAGCCTGGTCGCCTCGGGAGTTTCTGAGCCCATCGCCTCGGGGACACCCGAAGAAGCCATCCTAGAGTGCCCGAGCCAGTCCTTCCTGTGTACCCGAGCCGATTCACCTCGGGTCAGACAGCCATTCACCTCGGGTCATTGCACTGGTTGCCTCGGGGAACACCCATAGTCAGCTCGGGTCTGTCAGCAAGCTTGTGAACCCGAGCCGGCTCCCTTCAAGTGCCCGAGCCGGTTCATGTCAAGACCCCCGAGCTGCCTCTTTCCGTGAACCCGAGCCGGTTTTCCCTCGGGAACCTGGGCTATGCCTCTCTTGTCCCCGAGCCGGTTGCATAAGTTCCCCGAGGCGAAGTCTTCATCATCGCCCGAAGCAAAGACTTAGTAAATATTCTTCTCTAAAGGTATCATTTCCAAGCAAGTTATCATTTCCGAAAAAGAAGGATCATTTCCGATAAACTCGGAAATGATAAGGAAGAATCGCGAAGGATCAACTCAAATCAGGAAATCTTCCGAAAAACTCCGAAGAATAAGGAAATTGTCCTAATCCGCGATATTCTGGCCGACTCCGAGATAAATGGAGATCTTCCGAGAATATCGCTGGAGAGGCGGTTTATCATCCCTATATAAAGAGATTCAAGGCTCAAAGGAAAGGGCAAGCAATATCGCTCTAGAATCTACACTACGCAAAAGCTCTCACAGCACAAACACCTTTTTTCTTTTACGATCAAACTCTTGTACGATCAAAACTACTCTTTTCATCAATAATATCAAGAACACCATCTTTGGTTACAAAACGTTTCTGTTGTTCTTTGAGAATTCACGTTTGTCGTATCCCTAAAATAAAACCCTAGACAAATCTTGATTGTGTTAGTTTCGACTTCCACAAAAATGAACCATATCAAATCGACATTCAATCATAACAACTGATTTTTAAATAAAAAACTAAAGCATATTCTTTAAATATCCTATATTCAATTCTTATAATTTTCGAAGATATCTTGGCATTTATTTCGGATTTCTTATTATGTAAATGTTGGTTAATAATATCTAACAAATCTGGCTTGATCACAAAGCTATTGTCGAATTGGTATCCAACCTAAGGCCAAGAGGCCTCTATAAATAGATTTTTGCTAACACAGAATTATCATATCAAGAGAAGACTTTCCAAAAATCAATGACTGCTTCATTTTCCAATTTCCAGTCACCGGATTCTTTTACTGCAAACAACAACCATAACATATACTATCTTACAAACAACTTTTCATCTTCGATATTAAAAAACCGATGCAACATTTTCATCTTTGATCTTAAACCGACGCAACCGGAAGATCATTCGAACAAGTCCACTAGTTCATCTACAATTCTACATTCATTAGTTCCTCTCCTTATCATGAAACAACCATCCTGCAAATTTCATAAATGCCAACAACATGGATTTAAATCTCTCCACTCCCTTTGGGGGAAATCAATTTTTGGAAAACCCCTCTTTATTCTCACTACCCCTTCTCCTTCCCAATTTTCTCATAAACCAATTATGCCCCTTATCCCTTTAATTCTACATTTAATTTAATACCAACACATTTTTTATTCAACTAATCAAAAATTTTCTCTCTCTTCTCTCATTAAAAAACAAACCTACTAAATATCTCACCTTTTACGATTGCAGATTTGTTGAAATATTTTAGGATTGCAGATTTGGGACAACTGGAACCACTGAGTACAACTAAGTAGAATATTTACGGAAACCCTAAGTTTGGTGCAACTGGGACAAATGTGTACAACTATGTTGATGGTCTGCTACGGAAGTTATGAAATTATAGGCCGTTTTTTCTCTCTTTCTTTTTCAGGGACAATGAAAAGGAATTCTGTCATACGCTTTGCTTATGACGGATACTATACAAGTATCGGAGAAGATGTACATTGGATTTCTAATGCAGAAGATGAAGAAGTGCATTCTTTTCTTATGAATAAATCGAAAGGGGGACTATCCGGTTCCCCATAATAGTCAATGGGTTCTTCCTGAGGAGATAATGGAACTGTTTGCCTATCCTCCGGATTATGAGGTAAAACAAGGAAGAAGACAAGAAACAAGATTCCTCTCCGTTGGAGAACATAGAGGAAGAAGACGTAAGAAGAGGTTGCATGGATCGAGCGGTTTGGGCGAGTGGTTTACCAATGATGGTGACGTTGATGGAGACGATGCGGGTGACCAAGGTTGATTTCTCAGTGCTATTTATTAGGTAAATTTAAGAAACGATGTTGTTTGTATTGGTTTTGTTTGTGAAACTTATATGTTCTGTGTTGTACAACTAAATTTTAGCAAGTACAACTATAGTTTATTTCTTTCTCGTATCTGTGCAAATTTTGTCAATCTTGGTACAACTAAGTACCACATGTACAACTAAGGTCTAATGCCTTGGTCAATTTTCAGAATTTTATATAATATGAAAATTTAAAACCAAATTAAAAAAAAACTTTAAAAAGGCATACACGATGGTAATGAAATTACACAACAAGTTTTTAACAAAAAATTTCATATTTTTTAAAATACTGAAATTCTTATTCAAAATCCCACATTCATACACTAACAACCTTATACTTTCATGGTTACTTTGTAGATTTGAACTAAAATTTTATAAATTTTTGAAGTACTTGTATTTTGATAAATACAAATGCACAGATACAAAGTAATGGTATTTTTATGAGGCAATACATTCGATTCCACCAACAAAAATTAAATTAGAGTTGATAACAACTAGATTTACTAAAATCTTTGTATTGTACAACTATGAGCAAAAATGTGCAACCGAGTACAACTGTACAACTATGAACAAATCTATGCTATTATTTAATAATATTTTTCAAAATGACGGCGCCAGGTATGCCATTTGTCAGAATTTTTTAGATATTTAGATATTTCCAGATATTTTTAGATATTTCACTGTTTTTTTTTAAATTTTTTTCCAAACGTATCACCGGACCTACATATTTGTCAGATTT